CGTAAATTAGGTTCAATTTTTTGCTTGTTTGTTTGTTGTTGTTGCTCTTCTTTTTAAATGCTTGTTTTTTGTATAATCTCCAGAATGGTTGTAATTTTTAATGTAAATGTTTTATGAATAGCTGTATTTTATATGTAAATGCTGATCGCCAGTTATACCAGTGATCCAGTGATCACTGATTGGCCTTTCAGGTTAAATAAAGTCTTTTATTTATTATTTATTTATTTATTTATCGGGCATAAATTATCTTGTCAGATCAAAGGCAGAGGATGTGGAATTGATGAATGTACCATACAACAGAACTTTAGAGACATCTAAGATTGAAAGTTCAAAATATTTACAACGGGAAGCACTAAAAAAGTTGGTCAATGACCAAGATGTGTTCCTTATTCAGCCAACAGGGTCGTGAAAATTTGAATCATGTGGTGCCAGAATGTCAGATAATGAGTAAAGTCAACAAAGAGAGGGATAAACATAAACATGATGTACCTAAAGAGACAAAAGTCAAATTGATGTCTCGTTGATGTATAGTCTTGTGACGGAAAGTGACAGTCTCTGGTGATCCCTACGAAAAATACATTTTCAAAGCCAACGCAAACTGAAACTACAAGGCAATTTCAAGGTGTCAGCTTAACAGTGGAAACCATGCAGACCTACATGTGACCTTTGACATGACGTTTGCTACACAGCAGTCAAATGGCTCTGCTTTACATAAAAGGAGAACTTTTTCTTAGAACATAGCATTTAAGCCCTTCTGCGGCATTGATGCAGGGCCGTAGCTAGACAACTCGGCATCATAGCGAGGCAGATTTCGTTGGAGGGGGGTCTTCCTATTACAATTGGGTTCCCAGACAAATTTCTCAAACTCCCGGCAAGAAAAAACATGGTGGTTTCACTTCAACATTTTGAGTTACCGTTAATTTTTTCGAACGTTACACATCGCCATTTATAAAATGTCTTCGAGTGAGGATGATCAATTGAGTGAAGACGAATTTTCTGAGGATGAAGATTTGCTGCAAGCAATTTTCGACGCTGAAGATGAAGAGGATGAAGGAGAATTTGAAGGTTTTCCAATCCGATCACCGGAAAATACGAACTGGACACGCACAGAATTTGATGCGAACAYTGAGGACTATTCATTACAGTGTGGCCCAAAAGAGAACGCTCTACATCAGGAACCAGCACTGGGATATTTTCAGCTTTTTTGGACAACGGGTTAATTGAAGAGATCACTGGATTTATGAACAAGAACGCTGTTGCTAAACGGGCCGTTGACTGGAAACAAACAACAACTGCAGAGATCAAGGCACTTCTTGCAATGACCATCATCTCAAATGATCTGCTTGTTGTGCTGAGGGATGAGCGCTACTTTCTCTCAGGTGGGAATACTTCTGTCTTTCATACAACTGGTATAAGAAATATATTTTCCTTACATAAATGCTATTTTGATTTGAAGAAGTATATTTCCTTTGTGGATCCTGATCATGAGAAAACAGAAGAGGAAGCAAGAGATGTGCTCTACAAAATCCGAAATAT